GCAATCCAAGAAGCGACTACAGTAAGTTGTGGCTGCCTGCCTACAGTAAGTGAGTCATATCGAGTTGAATACCAATTAGCAGTACGGAATGTGGCAGCTTTAAATTAGGTCTGACAAGCAGTATAAGTATAAGTGAGTTCTCATGGCAACATAAGGCAACTTGAAGTGTAAAGATAGCAGATGGTTGCTGGCACATCACAAGACAGACAGGATATGGAAACCAATATGGCTGCGATGTAGTCATGATTAGGCAGCAGCTAGAATTTATTATCGGTAATGCACAACTAACTTTACAATGTATGTAAGGTGAATTCAATAGCAAGTTGAGTGATGTAAAATAATCAAATTGATGCTTAATGCAATGAGTTCCACTTACGCTGTTATGCTTCAACTCAGACAACACATCTACGTAAAAACATTATTTTGTTCATTTTTAAATACATTTAGCCTGGGATCATTAATTCAGACTGGTATTGTCTCATGCAGAATATCAAATCAAACGTAGAGTTAAGTTCAGTTCATAAAGCTAAAGGCCCTCTAAAGCAGAATACCATAAAGGAGCACACTGCAAAGCACTTCAAAAACGGAGATCAATACCAATCAAGGTCATTGCCTAGCCCTAATATAACTGCAATCTGCAACACCCAGGTCAGACATTTTGAGCTCTCTCTGTCCATGATCAGCAGCAGATTCAACGATTCAAGATTCAATAACAGATAGGTAACAAAAAGAGACACTGCCGTGGCATTTTTAACTGAGCACTTATAGTATCATGAAAATAAAGTGGCAATTATTAATACACAGAAATAATTCATTTCACACCAAGGGGCTGAAAACACAGGAAACTTTTTCTCACTTTTTCCTGCTTCCCCTGCAATCAATAGTCCATCACCACATAACACAGTTAAGGAAATTACCAGGTAACATATTGCAATGAGCATACCAGAACTATTGACTGAGGCAATTTCAGTTCCAGTTATCAGCCATAAAAAGGCAAATTGGATTCTTTCATCGCCCCGTGCGACAATAATATGACACTGATTATATTTGTTGTCCAATATGTTGGATATATGGATGTTAATACACTGACTAAATAGTGGCAGCAGCATCACTACAAAATTGCTATTAGTTGAACATGGTGGAAAATACACTAGGTAATTGCAACTTTGGATAAACTCCATATGTTGACTTTTAACAGAGAAATCCTTCCAAAAAATGTGTATCTTATTATAGATCTGTCAAGTCTGGAGACACCAGGGTCACGTCTGTTAGTCAAGTTGAATAAAAACACTTGAGAGCTTTTACAAGTCTTCATGAATGCAGGAGCATGAGGCGTCTATAGAGGAGATGGACACCAGGGGTTATTCCAGCCGTACTGAGGAAGAGCAGAGAGATCCGGAGCAGCACACAGACAGAGCTAAATGACTCCAAGGGAGACCCTTAGTCATGACCACGTCTGTGCCCTGCTCCGGTTACAGAATGAGGGGGGAAAAGAGAGGGCTCAAGAGAGCGGAAAAGGTGACATGGGGGCAGAGAGGAGGAGGGCTGGGAGAGAGGGAGGGAGAAAGGTGAAGGGGGAGGGAGTGCTGTTTGTATGAGCAGCGCGTGTGCCGACATTAACCTTCCCCATTAATGAACCGCTGGAGGGACTTCACATGGGCAGCGCTAAACACAGGAAGGAAGCGGGGAAGAAGAGGGTGAGGAGGAGGAAAGTTGTGTGCAAAGGGACAGAGGGGGTGATTCTATCCGGCCTTGTCACTTTTCCTGCCCTCACTGCCGGTTCAATCAGTAACACACATTAGGAGTAAATTGAGTGGATAGATGATGCAGCTGCTTTCAGCCAGTCTGGGGCAGAGAGAGCAATTACCACTGCTGAGCCCTGTTTAGCCGTGTGACGTACGCACCAACACTATGACTTAAGATAGCGCAGTGGGTGGATGGTAATGGAGTGGGAGTATTTCTGTCTCTTCTCAACTGATTTGATATCTGTCATAGCAATAAAACAGGTACTTTCTTTCATGCTCCGTACAAAGATATAGACTTTTATGTCCTCTGTCGGTCAAGAGTGCAAGTTCCTTCATCTGAGAAATGAAGGATGCTGTTCACAGTGGCTGCAGAAGGAAAATAACTGGGTTTCTTTCGAGAGAAAAAACACAGACATTGTAAAATATATCTTGTATATAAGACACAAGCAACACATAACCAAACAGGAGAAATGTGCGTTCAGTTTGTCGATCACCATGGAGTGAATCAACTTATTGGTGTGACTCAAAGTAAGAAAACATGTGACCTCAAGGTTTAATGGTCATATAACTGCATTCAGTTACCCACTGAAATGTCAGCTGTCAGTCCTCAGGGCTGCTGTGACAGACATCACTGATGTATCTAGAAGATGACAGATGTATCTGGGAGACAACTACAAGTGCAAATTAAATTTAGGACTGCTCTGATGTCCAAAATTAAAGGCTAATGACCTTTTTTTTTATTAAGTGAGGACATATGGTGACTTCAGGAGGCTGCAGAGGTGAACAAACACATGGCTGAAGAAAGGATGGAGGATTGAGGGACAGGTGAGGGGTGCCCCCACCTGGTCATTCTGGCTAATTGCAATTATTACAGCATGGATACCCAGCAGCATCATAATGCTACATGTGGCCAAGTGTACAATAAACAGTGACAGCCCAGGATATCCTCAAGTGGTATAATAGTAAGATGATTCTCATAAATAAAGGCATAATGTCAAACTCTGGCCCAGTTAGCCACACCAGGACAACACTTTAAAGGCTTGGTCAGCTGTTGGACATTAATTATATTTTTTACCTGGCGTTAGCTGACCTTATATGCATAGGTTTTAGCTAATTCCCCGGCTAACGTCAATGTTAACTCAGCTAACGCAGCTCATACAGCGGATTTGTGAACATATTGACTACATATACTATATACATGTTGTAAAGAGGTGGGTCAATGCAAAATTACTGCTAACAAATGCCATTGCTTTCTTTCTGGCATTTCCTCGCTGGGCTAACTTACAGTTGCTAGTTAACTTAGCTTGCTACTTAACTAATAAGCTGCTAGCTAATCATCCCTTGACTTGTTTAAATAAATTACTGATATTATTCCTGAAATAATTTGTCCATGTGTTTTACATTGTGTCCTTATATTTAACAGTTCTATCTGTTATTTTTGCTTTAAATTTGACTTGTTTCTAATGCAAGAATACAGTAGCACATACAGTTAAATGGGTATTTAAATAAACAAACCCAAGGCTAAAACCTGCCGACTGAATCCACTAGGTGGCAGTGGTGTTTTTGCCTTTTGCGTTTTAGAAACAGGCTAATGTACAGTATAGCAGGGTGAACTCCACACCTGCCCTGTCAGAGATGCACTCTCTCTATTCAACATTAGACACAGTCCAACATGGGCTTCTTCAATTTCATGCTGCCCCACGGAGCCACTTGAATAATTAAGCCAATATTCCTCAAAGATGGGACACAGTAAGCTGCACCCTAATAAAGATCATACATTAGTGGGTGCTCCAAAGTCCCTCACCATGCTGTATTCATTTGTATGGCTCGGCAGTGGTGATCCAAACCATATGAGGAGCTGAGTGGTTCTGCAGAGACCCAGTGAAGAGGCAGGCCACCCACAGCCATCGCTCACTGCTCTCTTTCCTCCCCTCTTAGGTCAGGCAGCATTCCTTTAGTGCCCTGGGGATCTCCGCTGAAGAAGGGAACATCATTCACAAAGACTCAGATACTGGAGCATATGCTACCTTCATTTCCCCCCCAGCGATCAAAAGGGAACACTAAAAAAAACCCAGTGACAGACAGATGGGCAGACTCACATTACTTTGGATTAGTGCATAGCTCTGTGTCAGTGTCAGAGGTGAATGAGTGCAGGTAGAGTGCAGATGTTCTGATCAGACATGATCATGCAGATTAGTCTCCAGTCACCTCTAGTGAGAGGTTTTTGGAGACTGGATGGTGTTAAACAAACATGCCTGTCCCTCTGGTAGACAGATACCGTTTATATGTCTGCAGTATTTCAGTGTTTTCAGTCTCACTTTCAGTCTCTCGCTGTGGCTGTCTGTGCTTGATCATAGACTAAAAATGAGGGGGGGCAGACATGAATGTTCTTGATAAGCTTCAACATAGTCCTGTTTGTTAAACTCGATATATTGCTCAAGGGCAGACTACCTTCACTCCCACTCCTCCTCTCGTCTCTCAGTATTATTCTAACCGCAGCTGTAGAGTGAAATATCAGCATTCATTGATAAACCCAGACAGTCAACAAAATGAGGAACGCCAGTTGTTGGAGAAGAGAATGACTTCATTTATTCAAGGATTGTTGTTATGTATATTTTTAGGCACTTGATAGTAATTTGTTTTAACATAATGTGGCCAGAAACCCTTTTAGAATAACATTAGAAGTTACTGTAATCACTTGATTTCCTCTGTATTTACACTTCAAAGGAGCACAATTTAGGGATATAAGTATGTCATGTCTATGGGCCACACAGAGGAATAGGCAGAAAACTACCATAATCAAACAGTTTATTTTTTGTGAGGAGAATGGAAACGTCTGAGCTGTGCCACATTAAACAGGGAGATGAGACAACACAGAACAAAACATCCAGAACCCACCAGACACACAAAAAAAAGTTACTTAAACTACTTATATGGTCATATTCAGCGGTTATTATGCAATCAAGTATTTTCCCAAATACCTGAGCAGCTAATTCAATTATTCTTTTCAATAAGCAGCATGATAAAAAAAATAAAAAAATAAAAACATGAAGCCTTTAATTAGTCTAATATGGTGTGAAAATGTTTTGTGAGGTCATAAAAGTGCCCAGCGTCTGGCGCTGGAGGGCATGGATCATTTCCCGACTCTGGAAATTGAGTCAGAGTCAAACTGTGTCCTGCCCTGGCTTATTACTGGCTGAGAGGATCGCCCATCCCAGCAGCATAATTCCATCTGGGCTAAATATTTATACAGAGGGGGAACGACATCACTTATCCACAACACATTCATTCACATAAGGGAGAGCTACTTCTAGAGTGGAGTTAGAGTGATCCGCTCTGTCTGGAACATCACTTCTTCTTGCTGATATTTGCTTAGACAAGCTTTCAGAATAAGGTTTTGTACTAACCAGAGTACACAATGAGCTTTTTCATCTATGTTTTTGGTGTGATTCTCACTTTGTATCAGATTGGAAGGAATCCTGCCAGTGGTGAGTGGAGTTTTTCTTTTTCTTTTTTCTTTTTGTATTTTGAAAAAGTAGGACCACAGTGTAATGTTGTTGTTTTTTTCACAATTGAATGAATGAATCATCTTGCAGTTATTATAATTATAAGGTACTTTTTTTCTCCAGAATTCATGTTTATGTATCTTTACCTCATCCTTTTGAAAAAGAAAATTCAACTTTGTATGTATGTGTTAGTAGATAAATCATCTACTTTTTGTATATATGCTTAATACAACTATATACTGTATGTATGTATACAGTCAATACATGTAGAACAGCTCAGCAGACAGGTGCTATATATTAAAATACTATAATGGAAAAGCCAAGACTATAGTTTTAGTCATTTGTTTAATGGACACTAACAATAATTCAATACACCTTTTAATGTGTTTATATATTAGTTTATATGTGTTTGAGTAAATTAACTTGTTTAATATAAATGGTAATGTGCTACTATCTCCAGCTGGGATGTGCTGGCTGCAGCAGAGTCAAGACCAAAGGTGCGACATGGTGCTGATGAGAGGGGTGACCAGAGAGGAGTGCTGTGCCGGGGGCCGCCTGGACACAGCGTGGTCCAACACCAGCCTGCCCATGAATGAGGTCAGCCTGCTGGGCTTCCTGGGAATTGTCTCCTGTAAACCATGCAAAGGTAAAATAACAAACCATTAAAAACAAATTGGCTGAATCTGCCAAGTAGAAGGAATCAGTTACTGTGTATTGCTTTGGTTTAACACAGTGGGGGCAGAGGATTAGTTATTTTATGTGACCCAAAAGTTAAATGCTGTGTTAAACTGCTTAAAACCTATATTTAAATTCTTAACAGTCACATTGTAAATAAAGATAAATATATTTCACTGGACTCTGTGCTACTGTCAGTGGTAGTTTTAAGGTAAGTACTGGCTCTTTTAATCACTGCCTAGATGCGTTTTGCAGACTTAAAACAGAAGATTTACCTTTGGCTAATCCACAAAATAGCTCTTGTCTCTCAGTGGGGAGTTAGTGAAAGTTAATTTAAACCACATCATTTGTGAATCGAGATATTCACACAATGAGTTCCCGGTGCAGCTTTCTAACAAAATGCAGACGTGGTTGGAGGAGAAGCGTTCCACATAACTCCACCCAGCTGTCCTGAGAAGCTTCCCCTCTTGAAATCTCTGCAAGGTTCATTCAGGTTCACTTGCAGATAAATTCAGTTTTTATAAGCAACACTTACACTATGTGTTCATAGGCCAAAAAATGTGAATTTCACCATGCTGATAAGTTCCAGTAAAAATCTAGCTACTGGCAATTTTAGAAAAACACACCCAACCACAGCCCCAGGTTTCTCTGGCCTCGTCACATGGCATAGAGAAACAGAGGTGTGGATTGTATTTAGATGAACCTGAAAAAGCAGAGAGACCACAGTCAAATGTAGCCTACAGCTCTGTAAAAAAATAAAAAACTCTTGCATAAACTGCATCACGTGGAAAACGAATGAAGTTGGTAGAAAACAGAACCTCTATCCTTGCTATGTGTTTCACTTTTTTCTACAGCTAGTTAAAAATGAGCCCCGTTTGCTTCCATGAGCAAAATAATAGAATTCCTGCAGGCTGAAATAAATGCCTGCCACATGCCCAGATGTCTGGGACTCATAACGTGCAACACTATCTTGATCATTTGGAATTCTGTGGGAGGATAATGTCGGTATCATGAATGTCAAAAAGTTTGAAGGTAGCTTGTCAATTCAGAGTTAAGACATCTACATCACCACGAGACGTTTGTTTGTTACCAGACATTCCCTTATTGGGAGACACAGAGGAGATAGATAGAAAATGTATACACAGCAAGAGACAGAGTGAAAGCTGGAAATCAACCAAAAGAAAGAAGAAGAAAAAACACACAGCTCTAGAATACAACAGGATATTGAAGTGCTGGTAGAGACAGGAAATAAGAAATAAGTTCCTCATTGTTTACAGAATCCTCAGGACTCAGAGCTGATCAGGCGTCATCTCTAAAGACTCAGAAAGGTCCTGGGAAGAGGCCTATGTGCATTGTCTAATGTTAACTCTGCCCTGTGTAGGATTACAGTTCCTCCTGTGCTTTGACATTATGGGGTGTCAGAGGAGCCCGGGGCTTCCTCATTTCTCAGCCTGTAAACTTCTCTGACAGCTATTTGAACTCCGTCTACCTCAGAGCCCCTCCGTCCCTCCGCAGGAGCTTAGCCCAGTCTGTGTGCAGCCGTACACATAGATCTGTTATGAAAACACGCCAGCCTCACATTCCACCAGGCGAGACACCCCTGTGTGTAATGGTCAATAAAGAGATGTGATTATTGTAAATATTGTGCAAGGTGAAAATAGTGTTATGGTCTGGGAAAACCCCAGATCTCAAGCTTGTTTTGTATGAAAATGCCTGCGGATCACCTGATGTCTGCAGACTTGTTAATGCAGTAACATTACACTGACACTGCGCAGAACTCACACACATATGAAACCACTCGCTGTGCTTTTGTAGAGACTTGTGAGGGAGTCAAATGCAGTCCTGGGAAGGTTTGCAAAATGAAGACGGGAAGGCCCCAGTGTGTGTGCTCTCCAGACTGCTCTCACATTTCCCGGAAGCATGCTGTGTGCGGCAGCGATGGGAAGTCATATATGGATGAGTGTACTCTGCTGATGGCCCGCTGCATGGGACACCCGGACCTGGAGGTCATGTACCAAGGAGACTGCAAAAGTAAGCAAGATGTATCTAGTTTATGCACAAAAGCCAAATATTACACTTCACACTTTTTCTAATAGTTCTTCTACTGTCATGCTCTGCACAGAGTCGTGCTCCAGCGTGGTGTGTCCAGGCACCCACACCTGCGTGACTGACCAGACCAACAGTGCTCACTGTGTCATGTGCCGCACAACTCCTTGCCCAATACCCATGCTGTCTGAGCAGGCGATCTGTGGCAATGACAACATCACTTACCCCAGCGCCTGCCACCTCCGCCGGGCTACCTGCTTCCTCGGCCGCTCCATAGGAGTCCGCCACTACGGCCACTGCAACAGTAAGGATACAAAAACACTTGTCACCTTCTCTTTTTACCTGTCTTACTTGTCTGTAATAATATAAGTAACACTGAGGGTCCTACAGCTTGCATGTGAGTAGTTCTTGACTCTGTTTTTGTGCAGACCCCCCTCGGAAATCACACCATTTGGAAGGCAGCGAGGAAAACGCAGTCTAGACAGACAACCCCTTGACATGGCCCTTTTTCAAGAGATGAGTTGGTCGACTTCCAAGTGTCACACCACTAGCTTCCCATGATGACCTCTTTTTTTTCTCTGACAATCACTCCCCCTCCCCTTTGTGCACAGAATGACAATTTGTTTTGATATTGAAGACCACTGCTGGAAGACATACATTAGCCTCAAAAAGAGCTACAAATACCTGTGAGCAATTTGTGTCAATCTTGGATCAGTTTGGAAAATAGAGGCAGGTGAACACGTGTCTCAAGATAGAAATATCTTGTGAGCTCTTTGGGAGATGTGTGCATATTGTAAATAGAATACCACTACTATTTATTGGAGAAGGTATCAAACTCTATTTATATTTTTATCCTAGTAACAAATCCATATATCCTTGGGAAAGCTGATGCAAAAAAATGTATTTATTGTGTTTTGTTTATTGTATATGTACAAAGGCGGTCACTGGCATGGGCAAGTTTTTTTTTTTAAAACAGTTTTTACAGTCTTCATTCCCCACAAACAAACAGTTTTCCCTCATAAACTGATTGAAAGCAATGGTAATTTGTTTGGAAAGTTGATACCACTTTATAGCTCGCCAGTGTGGTTTAAATTCACCACAAACAACAACATGACTACATACAGTTGTACTGTATGTAGCTTTGGTCTGGAGGTGAGGAAGGGGTTCAGTCTAAACAAACCTGTATAGTCCCCCCCCCCCCCCCCCCTCCCCTCTCTGGATCCTGATCCAAACTCTCGGCCACCCGCTGATCACTAAAATTAACAGTTTGGTTGTGTTTGTAGGAGTCTCAGAAGACTGTTGGTACAACCCCAAACCCTCTACAATACCTCCTCTGTTGAGTGCTTGGCTTTGTTTTCTAAATGCATTTTTGTAGGTCATGCTAGTTCATTCCGGTTGCTGTTTTGCTGCTTTGATTTGATTGGAATTTTATACTGGACAGACAAATCTAATTGGCGTCATCCGATTGAAAGGGGAATTCAATTTGTCTGAGAATGGACCACAATTTAGGCCAATTGAACATACCTGATTATACTGCCGTCAGAGAAGAGTCAATCTGTTCATTGTTGACTGTGGTAAACTGGTGGATATCAATACAAATGGCCAGTTTCGAATGGTCAAGTGATCCAATTTAATCTTTCAACTTCAAGCAGATGTCTGAAATACTTTCAATAATCCTTTCAGTGTATTATGGAACATTTCAATGACTCTCCTGTAAATAACAGTCTCATGTGTACCTACCTGTGTACCTACTGTGAAATTTGAATGATGAATGCATCAACATATTTTTGTATTTTTGTACTGCCATTTCAAAACAACATAAAGTTTAACATTTGTCACAGCGTGTCTTCTTTCTTTTACAACTTTTAAAATGGGAACATATTTGATTCCTGCCAACAGAATACGCTTCGCAATCTACTTTTCCTGTTACACCTAAACACACGTCTGCATCGTATTATAATGTATTATTATAATCGTAATAATAACAACACACGCAGGACTCTACAACTGTGAAACTGTGTCTGACACGTATTTTATAATATTTGGATTTTTCTAAACTGTGTCACAGTCTTACTCATAGCCAGTTTCAGCCAAATGAGATCATACTTGCACCTTAAAGGGAACTGGACAGCTTTCCTCACATGCTGGCTTTTAGGGTTATGGGTCAGGTTCCAGCAGCCAGCGGAGCACTCTGTTTATGCGTGCAGTGGTTAGACTTCCTCTCTCCTGTGCGTGCAGTGGCTGTGCCGCCTCTTCGACAGGCCTCTCAAGGCCTCGTGTGAGAGGTGACAGAGAATCAAATCCAGGCTGGGTGGCTTTTCTAACCTGTCTCCTCAGGGATATCCCCCCCCCCCATTCTAGATTAGGTGGGGGGGGTCAGGAGGATGGAGGGCGAAGGAATGGAGGAATGAATATTTCGAAGCGCTGAGGCCTGGGTACTGACTCACTTTCCTGTGTAAAGTACCTCCCTTGTTTTTCTGTCTCTCTAGCTCCTGCACTCCACCATGCACCAGCATCTGGTTCGACTTTAGGGAGATGTTTATATTCCTGTCCAAGTACCCTTTTATTACACTGGGAATGGAATTAGATGTTTTGTTAGTTCAAACAGGGCAAATAACAATGCCATGAGGGGCCGTTTCTGTACCCATGCATAAAACGCACAAAATTGTTTTTTTACAGAAATATACCTTAAAATGTTTCATGTGTATTGTGTATAAAATGATATATGATTGGTTGAGCCAAAGAAACAAAAGCATATTAGTCAGATTTTGGAATGCAGATATGACCTCAGTGTGCCCCACTAGACATGTCTGGGCAAAGGAAGATGTTCTATCCAACGAGACCCCTCCCCACACCAGTTTAGTTTTTCATCGTGGAGATTAATACACAGAAACATACACCAGAAATTCCATCTAACCTTTAACTGCCTAATCTACACCTCATTATGTGAAAAATATAATGTCGAAGCCAATTATTCCCATACCTTTATGAGTGCGAGCCATCTATAAATTCTTCTGCGGCCCACACGATAAACTTAACAAACCAGTGTTTCTCGCCATAGTTTAAAAAGTGGCAACCCCACAGGAATTTGCAGTGACCTCCCACCAAAATAAAGCATTTGCCACACTTTGCGGTGCATATGTTGAAATGGCTGTGGTCTTCCAGTAAAATACACAACTGAAAGAATTGGTTGAGACAGCACTTCTGATCCATGTGTCTGGACAAGGCATCCTCATGGATACAAGACAGATAAAAGCCTGCTGTTGTCATTATGACTGTGTAATACCTTCACCAGGAACAACCTGTATTTCATGACCGCACAGCCCTCTGACTGACTGACTGATATGATGGGCCTGTGTCACACCAGTGGTGGTAATGACATAACCACAGAGTAAACCTATGAGCCATTTCAGAGCTATTCTAATTACACTCAACACAAGACCTCAGGAATTCTCTGCCCACTTTGCTCCATATTTTATCCTTTTTTCTACATGTTGTGGTGTGCAGTGTGGCCGGAGAGGGGATCACCCTCACTTCTACTGGAACACAGCTTTGTGTGCGTGTTTGTCTGTATGTGTGGGTGTGATTGTGGGTGCATCTCTCCTGCTGGAGCTCACCTGTTATAAGCATGGGATCAGTCACACATATTACATCACAACCTCTAGCTGAGTTGTTTATACCCCTGCAAACACATGGGGTTATAATGTGACGCCCACACTGACATTTCAGGGATGCGTAATCATCCAGCTCTGATATGTCAAGCTTCTTTCTCAACAATGTCCACATGGTATCATTTCCGCCAAGTTGCCTTACTACTTCCAGTAAGTTAACAGCCAAGATTTAGATCTGAAATGATGTTGTGATGAGACCAGGCGCTGCGGAGTGTTTTCGGAGACCACCCACTCTCTGGATCGCGCCACTGGATTGTAAACAGCTCAGTCCCACAGCTGAAACTAATAGATATCAGATCCATCACTCCATCAGAATATATCTGCCATAGACATTATTTCCCATACTTGCTTTGTTACACGGCAAGTCTTTCATTTTTCCACATGTGCCTGACATTTAACTTTTGACAGTTGATTGTTATACTGACACAACAACCACACTCCAGACTTACAGTTTATACTGCTGCATGATGAGTTTTTATGGATTTCTTAGAATTGCTTTTTTATGATCTCTGTATATTTTATATCAGATGACCAATCAATCAAACTGAATGTTCATCTAACAGTTTCAGACATGACGAAGATGACAGCATCTATAAAGAAGAGGAAAACTATTTGGGAAAAGTTCAAAAGTTTAATTTGGCCCCCTAGTTTGAAACATTAATCAGTTTGTGCTTTTAGAGCCTCAAGATAGAAATATTTGCCAGGTCTCAGGTCCATCATCTGTACCTGTCAACAAAACTAGTGATCCAAAGAGATTCATCAACTTTGCAACCAAGTCTACTATCACCACTTTATGCAACAACTGAAAATCCAGGCAGGTTTACTGGGAATGAGCCGTCTTTGTCAGCGACTGGGTCAGGACCAACAACAAATCAGCAGAGTTAGGAAGTTGTGCAAATGCTAATTGTCCCCAATTATTCTTGGTGAATTGTTTCACTTCCTCGTCATGACCTCTGGGACAGCTTTTCTTCTGGCTCTGTGTGTGGTCTGGCCCATTTGTACTAAGTGTAACGGGAAAACAATATACTGGGAATACCACAAGATATGTTGAATGTAAATACAGAATATGAATTGTTATATGAGGTAAAAGTCGCTTTGCTATGGAATTCACTAAACATTTAGATACAGTTTGAGACTCCTCAGGGGTCTTAAAGTATTTGGGAACATGTGTTCCTGAGGCAAGTACAATATGAGATTGTGGCCTTCCTTGTCTTGGAACTGACAAGGTCATTGAATTAACTCTGGTTTTGAGTTCATGTTGAAATATCAAGCCACATAACTGAAAAAAAGTCAATGAAGTGTGATAATTGGGCTGCACTTAGTTCCCAAACTTAACTCAAATTGAGTCCAATTGTGCAATTTGAGGCTTGGAAAATTACCAGGCCATGACCATAATTTCACATCAGCTTTTGCAGGTGGCTCTCACATAGAAACAAGACACAAATACCTTTTTTATAAGCCTTGGCCCAGATACCTGCTTGTTTATAATGGAAAGTTGGTTGATTATCATGGAAAGTTGGTTGAACATTTAATTTGCTGTCATGCGTTAAGGTATGCCATGTAAATTTAGCAAAGAGGAGAGTGGGAAAGCTGCCTTGGTTCAGGTTTCATTCGATTTTGCGCACTCATTATCAACAGCTTCTTTTAGTTGAACGGCTACAATAGCCATTAGGACACAAGTAATTAAATCTTCTGTTAGGAGATCCTCTGTTTGTTGAAGTAGGACAGTGTACCACTAATGAACTCGGGAGGCCCATATGGTATCTATTCCCCCAAAATACAGAGCTGCACATCTTGTGAACAGACTGATGGTCAGTGTAAGATTAGAAGAGTAACTGCACTCACGCATTGTGTTATTAGCTCCAGTGTTTCTTGGTGTGGACTTTGGAGACTACAAGACATCAACACAACTGTGTTAACAAATACACGTGCACACTCACACACGCTGTATATTATACTGCATACACGCCATGTAGCCTAATTTTCTTTCCCAATTTTTTTTGCTTGAAATGAAAATTCTTGTCTCCTGTGGAGGTTTGTGGTCTGTGTTATTATGTACAATCGGCTGGGTAGAACAGATAACACCACTGTACGTCTTTCCAACATCTTTTGTGCTTAATGCAGTTTTCGTTTTCTTTTTTCTTTTCGTTTTCTTCATCATTCTGTTTTGTGACATATACTGATATTTTCAAAATGACAATAATATTTGTGTTTATCACTTATCAAGACTAAAAGTGTACAGCTAATGCTAGCGGCTCTTCAAGGCTGGGCACATTGGTGCTTTGAACTAAATGCATGTTAACATCCTAACAATGACAAGTGCTAACGTGCTAATGTTTTTCTATGTTAGCCATTTTAGTTTGGCCTGTTAGCATGCTATCATTTGCTATTTAGCATTAAACACAAATTTCAGCTGAGGCTGGTTTAAAGTCGGGGAATAAATGTCTGTACCAATCCATCCAATAATTGTGGAGTCATTTCATTGAAAACCATAAATGTCATGGTGACGCTAGATAAAAAGTTATAGGATTCGGTAGGATTCATCCTCTTGGCACCATGAACGTCTGTACAAAACACTGCCGGTACAAAATGAATCCATCTAGTAGTAGACATATTTCAATCTAGACCAAAATGGTGGACAGACCCAGTGACAAGTAAATACAAAACGACATTGATAGAGTGAAAAGTATTTAAACTGTTAAAGCAACTGTGTTGTACAGACAGCACTGCACATGATTGGGACAGACTGCTACGAGCTCATGGCGCAATGGGGTCAATGAAAGCAGATAGTCAAACTCTGCTGAAACATCTGCAACGAGAGACCACAAACACTCCACTACAACAAAAGCAGTTGAACCTTAGTTTCTAATTGTACACATGTGTTCCTCTAGCAACATCTATATTTTGTTAGCTGCCCAGTGATGTAATCCCAAACAGTTATGTACCAATGTAGTACCGAGGGATTTTGTTCTGGAACACAAGCAGTGTGGAAAAACACTGTACAGAACAGAAGGGATACCTGCTGTGATTCAAAAGTGTGTATATATATGTTGAGGACATGTTATTTTTTTAAAGACAGCTTTGTCCATCACTAATGTTGACCTTTACAGCTTTCTTGCTGTTTGTCCAGGGATCTTATGGTGTGTGTGTGTGAGTGTATGTGTGTGTCTGATGCACAGCTCTTGTGACACATGGCCTCAGACAGAGTGTGTCTGGACGGAGAGAGAGTCTTCGATGGGTGGGACTGAAAACAAGTGACGCATGACTAAGAGGCCCAGGAAGTTCCAGCAGGCGGCTGTTATTGCTGAGTGTGTGAGTGTGTGTGTCTATGTGTGTGTTTATGTGTGCGTGTGAGTGTGATTCGGGGGCCCAGAGGGACTGTGTGGGGCAATCCCGGCTGGAGTGTCTGGAAAAACTCTATGGAGTGACAAAAGCAGCAGTGTCCCTTGCAGCATATCTGTCTGCTGCCTTGGCTGCAACACTTAATTTGCCTCTTAGAGTGTGCTAGAAATGAAACCATAAAGTGGGCTGAGAAAACAACAATTAGCCTATTGTATAAGTCACTGTACGTGGATGCATGTGCTTGTGTAGTCTAAAAGCTACTTAATTACAGTGGCTGGAAGAAATACAGTCAGTTACTTCCACCCCTTGCAGAGATTTACAACAAGGAGACAATGAATATATTTATACGTCCTCAGAAGCAGTGTGGTTCTTTTTTTGATGTTTTCTGGTCAACATATTCCAAATTCATATTAGTAGTGAACTAAAACTACATGATGTGGTAGGTCCCCTCTGTCTGGTAGACTTGTTTTCTGCTGCTCACATGACCTGTCTCTGACCCAAAGTCACTCACTCCCCAGATTGCATTGCTACAATGAGCATTCGACTGGGATGGTGGTGACGCACTGGGCGCAGAGAGACAATAGCTTACCTCAGCCAGGCAGACATAGCAAACCTCAGTGCTATCAGACCCTCTCTAATCTCAGTCCATGGGACAGCCGTGTCTTTCCCGCTCCCACATGGCCCGATCAGACACAACGCCAGCCTAGAGAGAGGACATTAGTTCAAGTTCAAGTTCTTTTGTCATGTAAACATCAGTTACAATGAGGCCATCGTTGGCAATACAATTCTTAGATCTCAGGCTTCCTCTAACTGTGATTTTACAGATATACAAAAAATTCCTGCAAGTGGAATATACTATAATATAATATAGATAAATACAATACTGTGGTAGCCTGGTGAATAATAATAATAATATAAAATGTATAAAGTAATGCAGTATATAAGAACACATTGTAGACAATATATATACTGTGGCGTATAAAGGTGTTATGTATATATACAGTATATATATGTATATATACATACAGTACCTTTATGGTAGTAGTAGTAGTGTGGTGTGAGTACACTGTGAGCTTTGCTGTGAGGAAACATCCAGTCTTATTATACCTAATCATATCTATGTTCAGCATGCCACGTTGGGAAATAAAGCCGTTGTGTCACTGAAATGTTGCAATTGTATCAATTTAGGCCATTAGAACATTGTATAATACTAAAACGAAGCAGTGTGTTAGCTGCTTGGTTAGTACTGATACAAGACGTATACATGGCTATATCTGTACAGTGCATTTCATTAAAAACAGTGCACTCATAAAACACCATGGGAGCCGGTTGCATCCAGGGCTACTCTCAAGAGCATAAACCTGAACATTTGTAAATAAAAATCAGGCCACATGGCTCGAGAAATGTGATTGGCTGATGGGCAGTCAGATGGGAACTCCTACTTACTCTCAACATGTGGTGCCAAGCACAAGAGATACTCCAGACTTGTGTGACATGTTTATAGCCGTCAATCTGCAGTCATGGTAATCACATTAAGAATAACCCGTGAAAAAAAAATATTGAGGACATTTAAATTTACAGCTTCAAAATAAAAACAGACCTGAAAACAAAATAAAATCAATCATTTTCCCCTCCAGTTCTTATGTAACTAAGTGATCCCTGAGACTTTGACTGGTATCTCAATGCCGCCAGATAGCCGCCAACAAGAACTTGGCTGTGTTCACATAAAAGGAGACAATGTCTTTCCCATGTGAGAGGCTACTTATTTACTGTTTTATGTCTCAGATTTGACACTTGATAAAATGGTTCCACCAACTACTGTCAAATAATCAACAAACAAATCCACCTTTGACATGATGAGTTTGCTCAAAAACAGATGACTTTTAAACACTTAAAGTATGCAGGTTGGGCTCAAGGGGTGGTTGACGAGAATCCAATGGAAAAGTAACATGTGTCAAAATAAATCCAGTGCAATGCCAGATTGCAAAAACACATCTCTGGTTCTCATGTGAACAGGGAGAGCAGGCGGGGGGTGGGGGGCTGAACCTGCAGGGATAAGACATGAGTTCAGTGGAGACACAGTGTGGTGATACATGATACAGATATGTTGGGGGTATCAGCCTTCAGTTCTTCACTTCTCGGAGGCTTTTACGTTGGCATGTCAGTACGAATTAAGGACACCATAACCCAGTTCTTCCAACATATAATATCCTGACTGAAGTTCTCATGAATTCCAAAGGAAACTTACCAAGAGGATGTAACCTTAGTCCCTGGCTACAATGTGGAATACAGTAACTCATAAAACTCTTGATACACAAAAGCACCACCATGTGGCAACATTTTATAAGACACACAATTGTTAGTGCTTGTCAAATGCAGATAATTGAATATTATAACTCTTCCCAGTAGAATAAGTAGGGATTTTTCTCTTCCTTTTTACACAGCTAATTTATTAAATAAACTTTTTTTAATATCACATTAACATTTGTATGTAATTCTATAATAGCCTACTTATCATATATCCAGTAATGTTCCACTTCTTAATTCATATTCATGGTGGACATTAACTTTTTATCCTGTTCATATAGGCTACTACAGTGTAATATCATCTATTATGCAGTGCACTCATTTCAGTCACATGCTCGTCGTATTTTCTAGGAGGTTAACATTGACCTCTTTGGTGCTCCGTAGTCCTTCCCCCTCTCTACCTGTTTAGTGGCTAAAGATGGCGGAAGCTCCTCCATGGCCCAGCCGGTTCTTCTGTCACAGATGCTCGGCAGAGATTAGTCCTCGGCTGCCCGTAAGTACCAGAGACAGGAGGTGAACACGGAGACCTTTGGACACATGAGAGCCACACTGTTGTTGCTGTTACTTTGGTAGAACCCGTTGTAGCGGCGGGGCCAGCACTTAGCATGCTAACAGTATTAGCTGGCTTGCTACGAGCTCCCGTTTATCTCGCTAACGCTGCCCAGTGTTAGTGAGCTTGTTATCTAAGTCCCGGATCCATCAGCGTACAAACACGAACTGCTTAGTCATTACCCACAGAATACGGCTACTCTCCTTGCATGATTTGTACCCACGTTTGGCGGGGTCATTTTGTACATTATTGTGGATTTACGAGCTGTATTAGCCTAACCCTTAGCTATGTTATATTGACCAGCAACGACGTAAACTGCTGATGGTAAACACTGATGGCGTCTAATTGTCCACTTCAGGTGTTTCTGTTACAGATCAAACGCTGTTACCACTCTGTGTGCTTTAAGACTTCATGTACTAATCACTTCTGTCAACGATCCGGCAGACAACAATGCCACCGCGTCCTTTTCTTGTTTTGCCATTCAGTGAGGCACACTGACTGTCACAGGCTAGAATCATCTGTCATAGAGCTGTAATGTTTCCCTTCACAATGTAAAACATCACCCACAGGGTTGTGTGGGTCGCTGGCAACGGCCTGTGGTCTCATTAACACCTCACACAGCTGTGCAACTGCTGATGTGTCGTTTAGATCCTAGCCTGTGTATGAAGTTAGTTCAACTTTATTTTATAATTTCAACCATTGTAAAAAATGTAGCTGATGGACATGTTTCTGTCAGGATTAGGGTAGAAAAACCATCAAAACATAATAAAACGCAAGGAGAAAAACATTTCTGTTCTGTGTGAGCTGTAAAAAAATATGGAAGGTGACAAGGTGTGTGTGTTTATATGAACTAATAAGTGTGTTGAAGGTGGGATTGCTGTGAGGTGCTCATCAGTCTAACAGCACGGAGGACGAAGCTGTTGCTCATTCTGGTGGTGTTGGGGCTTTATGTATTATCCACTACCTGGACGCCCTTCCTAAACATCTCTGTTGGTAGATGTCTTGAATGCAGGGTAAAGACACCCAGTTGATCATCTAACTGTCCTCAGTGTTTGCTGAAGGGGCGTACAGACTACAGTCCTCATACCAGGTAGTAACACAGCTGGCCAGGACACTTTCAGCGGTGTCCCAGCAGGATGGAGTGGCAAGTCTCGCTCACTTCAGTTTTTCTCAGCATCCTCAAGTGAGCTGTCTTGGTCATATTCCATACCAGATGGAGGCGATATCATCTGCAATGTGTGCTTGAAGAAATTTGGTGTTGTGTTGCCCCAATAAGTGAGCCAGTTGGGCTTCTGTCAGGCCACCAGATACTTCACACTTTAGAGGTTGAGTCACATGAAAAGGATTATCATCTTCTGTCCCTTCTCACTGTCCAGCCATGCCATCAGTAGATATATCTGATTTGCTGTTTACACTTGCCACACACACAGCTTTAGTGATCATGCAATGGCCTAAATAGTTAATTGAGCTTATTATGAAGACTCTAATGTGTTGGTTTTTACTACTTTTTGTTTGTTTGCAGGAGTACACGTGTCCAAGATGTGATTCAGGGTTTATTGAGGAACTGCTGGAGGAGAGAAGGTGTGTATAAAGTGTATATTAACTTCATATATTAAGCCATCATCCCTAACAGTTGTGTGTTATTAGTATTAACATTGAGTAGCTGACATCTAGGATAAAAGCACTCTGCAAACCTCAGCTTTACACCAGCACTTATAAGGGCCAGCAACACGAGGTTTGACCCTGTTCTTTCTACAAGAATTGTGGTCAAATACGCTTTCAATAGAAACGTTTGATTTGTCTCTCAGATAAGTTATTTAAATTATATGTGGTATGACAAATTGTGTTGCCTGTGCTAATAGAAGCCATTGTACCACTGTCTTTCATTCTTTTCTTCAAAATAGGAAAATTAGTTAGGCACTGCTCTCTTTTTCTGCTATCTAGCTTAATGTTGTATTACTGTCCTTTATCCTCCTTTTTTTATTTTTTATTTAATGGTATTCCAAAAGCTACACTTCACATGTAAAATGAGAAGATGGATGGCCAAGGATAAGGGGAAGAAATAAGACACAGAAAAACCTGACATCATAATTGTTAGGAATGATGGAAACTATGACGCTTGGTGAAAAAGAATGACTTTCTGTTGTCGAGAAGAAACTTTGTCAACTGTTTCTCCCCTGTTTAGTGCGGACAATGGTTCCATGTCTACCATCTCCAGTGTGCCCCAGAACCAACAACCATTTGAGGTTTCTAGCTTATTCTTTTCTACACAACCTATGTCTGTCCTATTACTATATATATATATATAT